TAACCCTAGACACAGCGGGTGATCCATGGCCATTGCCATCAGTGCCATCCGCCACAGACTCCTCAGACTTGGATACTATGTGGCTCCGTTGGATTTGGGCTTGGGGTTTAGGGCTTCGCACAAATATTCAAACCTTGCCAGGATAAGAGTAAAACCCAGACACGGGCGACACGGCGGGCAGCTCTCCATCCTCAGCTGATAAGCGGACTTTTAGCTTTGGATTGGTTGTAGATTCCGATTCCTGGATGAAGAGTTTTCCTGAAGTCACAGACAAATCCTCCTGACGACATGTCAACCCTATGCCACAATCCCCAAATTCAGTCGCCCTTTGAAGTTAATGGTCAAAATAACTATTTGGGCCTTGGTGCTGCCAGGTCTGGCACAGCCATGCCAGCTCCACCGCCAGCAGCCCCCGCTGAAGACGAAGCCGCCTGCCCGAACAGTTAGATTGCTTAATATAATATACCCTTTAATTAAAGCCCTTAAGCCCCAAACCAAGCCAAACCGTGAACCCTTTATTATTGTACCCCAATGGAATAGAAACTAAACCCGAAAACTTATTAGCGTCCTCCGGCGGCGACTCCACATCGGTCTCCACCGCCTGCTCCTCGCTGCAGCCGAAGCTCCGGAAGTGCGCCGGGTACTTCTCGGTGGGCTGCATCAAGACGGGAGACTTCGCCTTTAGGGAGAGGATTAACACCCCTGTAGGGTTTTAGGGTTTTGGGGTTTGCCTTGAATGTGAATTAATAACCCCCCAACTGAGAATCCAAGTGGCTGGCACCGACTTGGCCTTCACCACCCGGAGCCACGTGTCCCTCGCCGCCTGCGTGGGAAGAAAGCTGATCCCGCGAAGAACTCCAACCCCTAAGGTTAAGGAACATAAATTTAAAATAATCAAACCTCAGTGACTCTTTGCTACCAAAGTTCTGGCACTTTGGCCTTCGGCGGCTGGCGCCCCACCGGCACTGTGCCAGGAATGGACCCAGCCATGGGCAGCACCGGCGGTGGGCGCTTCGCCAGAGGAGCCCACCTGAACCAGGCCTTCGGCAGCTGCCCCACCGGAAAGGGCTTGCCGTAGAAGGGAGTCGCCTCAGATAGTGGAGGGGTTTTCGTGCCAGATGCCAAACCCTAAACCCTAAATGTATCCCTTCTTACATGGGGCTTCAGAATTCAAAAATCTCCGTGCCAATGCATCCTGGGCTCGGGCTCCATATTACGCGGGCCCACCCGCTTGGGCTTCGGAACTGCAGGCTCTGGATCGTCTGCCATTCTGAAGTGGCCCTTGCAGATCCCAGAAAATAGGCTGTTCAAGTCGGCAAAACGCAGTATCGGCGCGTGTGGCGGACACTACGACGCGAGACGGGCCCGATGTGGCACCCCGCAGAATCCAGAGAAGAGCAGAAAGGCAGCACTGCAGGACCGGCGCAAAAGGCTGTTCAGTCAGAAGACCATAGCATGCAGATCTCCAAACGGCACGGTGAAGCCCCTTGCTAAAACTAAGATGTGTGATTGAAATCTAGTGAGGATGCCGAAATCGCCAACGTTTGAATTAAAGCGACAGTGCCTGGCAGCCTGGCGCCTGGCCTAGTGCTTATACCGTCTAACTATGCCGCTGCCCTGTTAGGATCACAAGCTTTTGTTAGACTCTGACTGAAACCTTCACCTCTTAGTTTAGTGGATCATAGGGAACGAAAAAGCATGCAACATCGACTGACAAGCTTTATACATGTCAAAGTAACATGGGCATTGGACCTTCGAGCCGAAGGACCACGGTTGGTGGTTGTGGAAGTTGAACCATCAAGCCCTGTAATCTGAAGTACCTTCACCCCTCATTTAGTGAGCCCGTTCATGTTTGGAAAAAGGCAGGCATGGGTTTTCATGTCGGGGTTTTAGAGTTAAGGGAACGGTTTCGGATGTTCAGCTTCATATAGGCAAGTAA